CACAAAGGTGTAAAATATTATCTGTTACAAAGCAAAATAGGTGATGTTTAGGGATTGTAACTGTTCCTAAACCTAATGGAGAGCTCAGGTTACATGTAGATCTGACACAATTAAATGAGACAATCCAAAGAGAAGTCCATCCAACATCTTCAGTGGATGAAAGTCTGGCAAAGTTTGCCAATTCTGTGTTCTTTACTAATCTAGATGCAAACTGCATCATTTTTGGCAAATCTCCCTATGAGTCAAAGTAATTAGAGACATTCCTTTCACCTCTCAGGAAGTAGTGCTTTAATTGCCTTTCTTTTGGGATATGATTAGCTCCAGTGATATATCAGCTCACAATGTCATTCTAGATGGAAATAAAGAAGAGGTTTGTCATACAGATTACATATTTATAAATGGCACTATAAAATGGGAGTATAATCACAAAGTTGGTGAAGTTATGAAAGCATTACAGAATGCAGCTCCTACATTGAATGAGACATGTCAGTTTGTAAGAATGGGAATTAGATTCTTGGTCAATAAAAGGACAATGGTAAATCTTCAAAAAACAAAAGCCACAAGTGACTTCCCACAATCAAAGAGTATAAATGATGTCCAAAGATTTCTGAGAATGGTCAAGAGAGTAAATTAATTAATTTCAAATTACATAATCTTTAAGAAAACCATGGCATTTCAAGGCACAATTTTTTTTCCATTGTCCTGGTACGTAGTCATCCTAGTACTCCCCTGGCTGTGGTCACAGATGCATTCTCAACAGGTTTGTGACCAGTTGCAATGTTAGAAATTAAGCTGATCTACTTCATGTCCATTGCATCAACTGAAATCGAACAGCATTACCAAACAATAGAGAATTCGATATTGATAGTAATGTGGGGATGTGAGCGATTCTCAGACTACCTGATGGGATTAACATTTCAAATTGAGACAAACCACAGAACAGCAGTTACACAATTGGATTCCAAAGAGACAGTCAAAATGGCTTTATGTATCCAGGGGTTTAGACTGAGGCTGACACTTTATGATTACACAAACAGTGTATAATACCAGGAAAAATTCAGCCCACAGCTGAGATCTTGTCTGGAGTTGCAATGGACCAAGTTCCTTTATTCATTTACGGGATGAGGGCATTGCTGGCTAGGCAGCATTTATTGCCCATCCCTAATTGCCCAGAGGGCAGTTAAGAGTCAACCACATTGCTGTGAGTCTCGAGTCACATGTAGGCCAGACCAGGTAAGGATGGCAGTTATCCTTCCCTGAAGGACACTAGTGAACCAGATGGGTGTTTTCCTGACAATCGACAATGGATTCATGGTCATCATTAGATTCTTAATTCCAGATATTTATTGAATTCAGATTCCACCATCTGCCGTGGCAGGATTTGAACACAGGTCCCCAGAACATTATCTGGGTCTCTGGACTAACAGTCCAGCGATAATACCACAAGGCCATCACCTCCCCATTAAGTTGAAGCAGAAAATCTAGTCTTTATTTCAGACAATGGAGCATCTCTTTCAGTCAAAGTAAATCCTTTACCAGCTTTTAAGAAGTTATAAGACATCAGAGAAGTACAAAAGGCAGTAGTAGAATGTGCCCATTTCAAGAAATTCTGCCAAGAAGGTAATCAAAGTACGGTCTAAATAATCAGCTCCTATGGAAGTATCATAAATAGATGAACCATTTGACCATAGTAGATACATTTCTAGTCTTTAATTGCAGGCTAATAAAATGAAAGGCTATAATTTAGTCTGTAATCTATATTGGTGGTGGGTCATCTTTCTCTGGCTCACTTAGCTTCCACAACTCCCTCCACTGCTTTTACCATCTAAAGTCAGAAGAGAATACTGGGGAGAGATAGTAGGGGCTACAGATGCTGGAGAATCTGAGATAACAAGGTATAGAGCTGGATGAATACAGCAGGCCAAGCAGCATCAGAGGAGCAGGAAGGCTGACGTTTCGGGCCTAGACCCTACTGGGGGCTCCTCTTTCCAGGTTACTGCCTCTGTTTTCTAAGAAACTATTACATACGAACAATCTGAAGGTGCAGTAGGATAGGGAAGAAACTCTATTGAACTCTGCTTGACTAACTGAGCTCAAATTACCACACACATCCCCAACTACACCTCCCGCAGACACCTTACACCACACAAACCTAGGCCTGACAATTTTTCAGTGTACATGAGACCCCACCTCTTCTCCCTCCTTTTTACCACTGCCAGACACAAAAATCAACCTCTCCCCACCAGACCTGATTACCACCATCCCCCACCCCAAAATACCCCCATATACTCTTAACACTCCTCATGGCAAGCTTCCCATCTTGTTCCCTCGCACACTACCCATCTGGCACCTGGGCTTTAAAACAGATGACCTCAGAGTTAGTGGCTGATGTGGTTTTGATCTTCCAGAATTGTCTAGTTTTTAGAATGTTCCCAATAAATTCTAAAGCAGTAAATCTAAGCCTGCTAACCAAAAATGGAAAAATGAGAAAGAAAATTAAAAACTATAGCCTAGTTAATCTGCTGTCAGTGTCAGAAACAACTACTAGAATGTATTATTAGAAACGTTAGAATACCATGTTATTAAGCAGAATCGACATGAGCTTTTGAAAACAAAATTGTGTTTGAGCTTGTGTACAACAGGGAACCAGTGGATGTGAGCTGAAGAGAAATTTATTCTCTCAAAAGCTTGTAAATGTTTACAGTTCTCTACTCCAGAAACCTGTCAATGCTTCGTTGCTGAACATGCTCAGACAGAAGGTTTGACAGAATTGTTCAATACTAAGGGAATTAAAGTACGTTGGGATTCTGCAGGACATTGGAATTGAGAAACAAGATCCACCATGATCTTGTTTAATGGTGGAACATGATAAAAGGATTGTATAGCCTACACCTGTTCCTATTGATTATGCTCATTGAAGCTAAGACACAGTTTTCTGAAAAGATTAAAAGAGCTTTAGTTTCAACTACACCAACATGTGCTGTACCTGTTTGGGAATCTTTGATATGAGAGTGGAAAGGAATTTTTACTTTTGATAATCTTTACCTCAGCAGTAGTCTCCAGCCTCTTTCTCTACTTGTTACTCTACATTATTGTCAATATCAGATTCAATATTGCTCTTTGCTTGACAGCTTGGTTTCTTCTGAGATAAAGGATCCAAATGCTGTGTGATCTCTCCAGTCCAATCAGTTTTCTACACTGACTCAATCTCCCCTGGGAACTAAGTCCCGTGAATACTTAATCAGGCTCCTGTTCCTGCCACAGTATCCAAACAGCTCTTAATTAGGTATCCTCTCCCGGGCCTGGAGATGCTGAAAGCAAAGGAGGTAGAAGGTCTGGTGAGGGCTAAGTGAGCCAGAGGAAGATGACTCATGACCAATACAGACCATGGGCTTTAATTTTATGATATTCTATGTGACTGTGACAAATGTAAGCTTTCTCTCTCTCATTTTCCTTGATCGGTCTTTGAAACAGATGACCAGTCGATCCATCTTCAACACTTCTCCACTGCTTTCCAGCTGGGTAGGATTGCATTAATGTCATTCCAATTTTATCTAATCATAGCCAGTGAAAAGCCTGCATTGGCTTCTCTTCCTGCTCCTGCACTTTTACTGCTAGTTTTCCATTAAGGATCTATACTTGGCCCCTCTTATATCACGATACTGCCACTTAGCAATATCATTGTAAGGCTAATTTGCACTGATGAAACCCAGCTTTATCTCATCACCACCTCTCTCAACTCCTCCACTGTTGCTAAATTGTCAGGCAGTTTATCCGACATCCTGTCCTGGGTGAGCAGAAATTTCCTCCACTCAAAGAAAGGACCGAAGCCATTCTTTTCTGCCTGCAAACACATTCCCCAGTCACCAACTCTATCCCTGTGTCTAGAAACAGTCTGAGATTAAACTAGTCTGTTCACAACCTTTGTGTCACAGTTGATCCTGAGATAAGTTTCTGACCTCATTCATTCCATCATGAAGAACACCTATTTTCACACCTCCCAACTTCATCCAGTTTCAGTTCAGCTGCTGCCGGAATCTTCACTCATACCTTTGTTACTTCTAGACCCAACTAGTCTTGTATACTCCTGCCTAGTCTCCCACTTTCCACACATTTCAGGTCATCCATGCCTTAACTCACACCAGCCACTATTCCCCTTTCAAAATGTCCTTACTGAACTGCATTGACTCCCGGTCAAACAACACCTCGACTTTAAGATTTTTATTCTTGTCTTCAAATCACTCCATCATCTCACACCCACCCACTCTGTAATCCCCTCCTCTTACTGCATCCTGCGTTATCTATGTTCAGCTAATTCTGGCTTCTTGAGCAGCCCACTTTTAATTGCTCCACCATTAATGGTCATACCTTCTATTTTCCAGGGAAGTCCAGTTCATAAAAAATGCTATAGATATACATATTCTATTTTTATTTGTACCATGACAATGCTGTTAATTTGGGTTTCTATGGTTTAAAAAGGTGGATAAGATCGCCATGTCCTTCAATAGTACTTACTGCTGTCATATTAACCTTTCCCTTTGTCCCACGTATGCAGCAGAATATGAAAGTGAAAAGGGCCATTCCATGTTATATAATACTGTTGAACTTGAGGTATGAATGAACAGATCATATTTACTAATCAATGTCAGATGATTCTTATTGAGAAGCTAGTTGTATATTGTAACCCCTTGTATAGTAGACAGTTATTTTACTTATCCAGATAATGCACTCCAAATCAATAATCCCCTAACCAAATTGTCTCAATGTTTTTGAATTTCTGAAGAAGGGTCTCGACCCGAAACGTCAGCTTCCCTGCTCCTCTGATGCTGCTTGGCCTGCTGTGTTCATCCAGCTTTACACCTTGTTATCTCAGATTCTCTAGCATCAGCAGTTCCTACTATCTCTGTCTCAATGTTTTCATGTAAAAATATTGAAAATATGAGTCAACAAGACTTTCCATCTTCAGTCGCTTTTAACTATGTCTCTCTTTACTGTTTCAGAGCTGGGTTAACGCTCCACATCCAGATGCATTTTATGAAGTCAATGAGAAAAATGTAATGGTCCTGGAAAAGGGTGACAGTGTTCAGGTATACGACAAACCTAATGGTACTGGGAAAACATTGAAAATGGGATTGAAACCATGGGACAAGCAGTCTGAAATTCATTCCTCATGGCAGGCCTTGTGTGGCCCAAGTCCCTGCCATTCATCTCAGTCTCGGGGCCAATTTGGGAACAACATCCAACAATGGAAGGATAAATCCTATGGACATGTATCTATCAACACTGTCACAGTAACTGATGAGGTTGTACCTTGTTGTTCTCAATGCAGTTATAAATGCAAGTCAACCAGACTACCCTACTTGACCCAATGTAATAGTAATTCTACTGTAGACAATTCAAATGAGCAGAATTATCCTACTAGCAACCAACAATTCCACCATTTGCACCCAGTTACATTAGAAACAGCTCAACATTGTGACAATGCACCACTAAACACCATGATGTCCCTGTTACAATACTCTTGCGCCCATGAGGGGAAAAGTGAAGATACTTTGGACCTTCAGTGCCTCAACATGACTGACTGGGGACAAGAAAATGAACCTTTTTCTTTGAATGATGGGGAAGATGTCTCTTGGAATGACAGAAATGTAGGTGAAGGTGGTTCTTGGAGTGATGGAAGTCTTGATACTCTCTCATCATGCAGTAGGCTTGAACCAGACCTTGGTTACCCGAAGATATCACTGGATTTAGATACTGTTGACAGTGGATTCACTGAGACTGACACTGATTCTATGACCGTTGTAGATTCTGGATATAAGACTAACATAGATACGGTTGGAATAATTGATGCAGAGCACAAGCAAGAGCTGGACAATAACAGCCCTGTTAATTCAGAGCAGGAACAGCAGTATTACGGAAGCTATGTGAAGCAATGGGCCAAGTCCACTTCTACATAGATGTTCCAAAGGCCAGATAATCATTTCTGCAGCAGAGTAACTATTAAACTGACTATTTAACTTACCACACACCCTCCAATTACCAGAGTCTTGACATGTCACTGCAACCCCTTCCCACCCCGCCCTGTACTCAACAACCTCCTCACCCTCCTGGGACCTGACAAACCTAATCTCTGCCGGGGATTGATACATTGTTCTATACCTGGGACCTGAAATCCATTGCCACTAGATCCGACACTCCCTTTTACCCCAGGACCCAAGACCCGCTTTATCCAACATCCCCTCTAACCCTCGGAACTATCCCAGGACACTCCTCACCTCTGCTTGGGACATGACACCCTCCCTACCATCGCCAAACCCAATTCCTGCCCATTCCTTTAGTCACTTAACACCTTCCATTCCACTCTCACCCACACAAAACCCCCCTCCCTACCACCCGTCAAGCCACCCCACCACTCCAAGACTGGATTTTGCTCTCCATCCCACCCTTGCCATCATCTCCCCACCCCCATCCCAGACCTGAAATCACCCCTGTCCCCTCAGAAACCAAATCTTCTGCCACTAGACCCTACACTCTCTCCTCCTGCTGCTAGAATCCCTCCCTCTTGACTCTGTCCATCCAGGAGCTAAAATACCACTCCCACATCTCCCAGGACCCAACACTCCCCCATCTCTAAGAGTCCTTACCTCCCATCGCCTCCCCATAACTTGATCCTGTGGCTCCTGCCCACCCCAACCTACCCTAAATACTTCATTACTTACCTGACCGCCTTCCAACCTTGTGCTCTGGCATCCTACTCACTTGACACCCAACATTTCTGGCAACCTTCCTACTAGCTCTCTGCCCTTCATCACCCTAACCTCACATTTACCTTACATACTGACTCTTTTGTTGGAGCTGTCAAAGCGGCTGTCTGTGATGCTCAACAGTTAAATCATGATAATTGACTGCTGTGACTTTCCCCCAAATATCTTGCACTATGAGGAACCTGACAAATTGAAAGCATGGCTCAAGTAAAAGCAAAATACTGTGGATACTGTGACTCACATTCTCCATTTTTCCTCAATTTGGGAATTCCCCGCATCATGGTTGATGGGGCCCTCAACTGTGCCCAACACATCTCTCACATGTCTGCCCTCACCTTCTCTCCTGCCTCCTGCCCAGAACAGCAACAAATTCCACTTATCATCATGTTCCTCTCTACCAATTCCTGCATTCAAAGGATAATCCTTAGCCATTTCTGCCACCTCCAGCAATATGCCACCACCAAATGCATCTTCTCCTCCCATCCACTGTCAACATTCCACTGGGATAGTTCCCTCTGTGACACCCTAGTTCACTCCTCTATCACTCGTAACTCTTTGCCACTGCCCCACAGCATCTTCCCATGCAATCGCAGGAGGTGTAACACTTTCCATTCACCTCCTCCCACCTCATCATCTTTTCATTTTGTGTTTTTAGAGACTGAGCTGAGATGAGATAAAGCATGTTTTGAAAACCAGTGTTGGAAGGTGTGGCTGCAGTGCAGAAAGCAAGTAACCTAAACACCTATTGCAAGTATCACAAACAACTCAACAAGCAGTGATTGGAGTTTGAGTTTCAGATGATTTGGGGACAAAGAGTGTCCTGATGCAGCTTTTGCTTGCAAAAGAATGTTGACTGGTCTATGGACTAATCAGCACTTATAAATAACAAAGACTCATTTGCCTGCTAACAGCTGTGTGATTGGTTCTTCGGTAACTGAACAGCTTGGAGCTCAGAATAACTTACAGATAGACAAATAGATAAACTTGATGAAAACAAGTTTATCTTTCTTGTAACAGTTGTTGTAAGCTGTACCTTTTAGTTGATAAGTCAGAGACTTTTTATAAGTAAACCACTCACTCTGTGTCCCTTACCACCAGTTGAAGTAACTGGAGAAAAATGACTGAAGTAAAGTGCTGGCCAGTGGAAAGAGTCATAAAGACCATCTCAACAATAGTATCTGGGAACAAAGACTAAGTAACTGTCTTTCCAGGTTTTCTCCTTTGTCTATAACCTATTCACTTGTCTGTGTTTATGTAAGGGGAGTTTATAAGGGGATTACAGAATTGTTAAGGAGCAAAAGGAGGCCATTCAGTCCATCATGCCTACACCAGCTCTTCAAACAAGCATCATTACCTAGTTCCAATCTTCTGCTTTTTCCCCATACATTAATTCTATCCAAATAATCATCCAATGCCCTCTTGAATGACTCAATTGAACTTGCCTCCACTACATTTCCAAGCCATGCATTCTATACACTAACTACTCACTGTATGAGAAAAACATCCCTAATTTCCCAATTTTTTTTTGCATCACTTTAAATCTATGGCCTTTCGTTTTTCTTTTTAAGTGTAAGAACAGTTTCGTCCTATCAACTCTGTCCAGCCTGCTAATGATTTTGAAGACCTCTATCAAATTTCCTCTGAACCGCCTTCTCTCCAAGGAGAACAGTCCCAACTTCTTCAAACAACCATCATAACTGAAGTTTATCATTTCTGGAACCATTCTTATAAATGGTTTCTGCACTCTCTTACATCTTTTCTATAATGTGGCTCACACAACTGGACACAGTACTCCAGCTGTGGTCTAACAAGTATCTTATACAAGTTAAACATTACGTCCTTGCACAATGACCTCTTATGTGTGATTTTATCAAAACTTTCTGAAAATAGAAATACACCACATTCACTGGTTCTCCCTTATTTATTTTAAGGATCAGTTTAGTTCATGTGGTTGGTTGCATTGCAGTGTGACACCAATAACATGGATTTAATTCCTGCACTAGCTGAGGTTATCCTGAACAATTGACCTTCCCAATCTTCGTATTAAAACACCACCAGTTTTCTCTCTCTAATAGGACAGCAGCCCTATTATCTGGTAAGACGATAGTGACTTTACCTATTCTACTCATTAGGTCCTCAAAAAACACAAATAGGTTTGTAAAACATGATTTCCATTTCATAAATCCATGTTGACTTTCTGTAATCCCATTGATATTCTCTAGGTGTCCTGATATAACATCTTTAATAAACTCCAGTATTTTCTTCACTACCAATGTTAGATTAACCAGTTTGTAATTCCTATTTTTCTGCCTCCATCCTGTTAGACAACACATTTGTTTATTTTTTGGATAATGGACTGAAAATGAGAAAAATGGACCATGCTTTAGAAAGGAAAGCATAAAAAGCTGTTTAGAGCTTTGACAGAAAAAACTGGTGAAGTTAACTGGTGCATATGAAATAATCTTACTTTTTGAGGACATTTAGTCCAGAAAATAAAGCACCATTTGTCATGGGTTCAGGAGAGGCCAACATAGCAACACGTCTCTGATTGGTCAGGTTGCACTTTAACACAGAAAGTGTTTGTGTTTTAACAAGTAGTTGATCAGATGCAAAATTAGATTTTTGGTATATTTCATGAAATCATTAAGAAGTTTCATGAAACCTTGCATTTATCATAATTTTGGGAATAACAAGGCTTGATATTCATCACACTACCCAGTAAGACATAACACTCCTTTGGGGTGTGGTGGGTCTACATTTGTCACCCTCCAATCTGCTGAAACTATTCCAGAATCAAACCTGTATGGACTGCAACAGTCACAGATAATGGGGCTGACTAGTTTCCAAGCTCGTCTATCAGATATGGCTCAGTGGGGTATAAACTTGTCATGATGGTGTCAAGTGTTTTGAGTTGGTGACATTCCTGCTTCAGTAAAAGTTAAAGCACTTTGTGGGAGTGATTAATATTGTCCAAAAATGGTCAGTGCTACTTCTACTGCACATAGAATGAATTGAAAGTAAAATATCTTATTTCTGGATATAGATGAAATGTATGATATTCTGTCATTTAAAATTAATTTCAGAGATGCACATCATACAACTATTTCCAGAAATGAGATATTAATTCATTTTGAATAAGTTTCCTGCTTAATTTTTTTTTAGAAATTCTGCAAATTAACTTAATCTTGCAAAACATCAAACATCCTGCACAGCAAACAAAACTCACATTTTTGCAACACTTTATCTTGTGAAATGTATTTTAGTTAACCCTCAGATAGTTCCCAGAAACAATACAACAGGATTTCTGATTATGTGACTTCATAAATTTCCTCAACCAATTCCTGTGTCTTCTTTAAATACCCAAAGCCAATTTGAGCTGAACCAAAGCTTAGTTAAACTCACTTAGAAGTATTAGAGCAGAGAAAGATTTGCAGGTGAGCCACTCTGCAGGAGCCTTTTCAATTCTTTGGATCTGGAGGACCAAAATGCGATTGGTTGATTAACAAATCCAGCAGCAGTGTTTTTGCACCATTCAGTCCTCTAATCTAGTGTATACGTTTAACACAAAGTGAGGCTAAATTTTCCCAGTGTTCAAACTTGAGAATACTGGGGAAATGGTAAGATTGAAGGCATGCAGGAGGCTTGAATATTTAGAGACCTCTTGCTGCACATCTGAGGTCTGACGTGTTCTGCGTTTTGAAATTAAGGCTTTTATTATTAAATTTTGATTATTCTGAAAGCTTCAGCACCAGTAGAGCCCTATAGACTGTATTATTTCACTAAGCATCATCCATTGAGTTGAGTGACAAAAATGAGGTACTAAGTATCCCTTTAAATCCTACAAAAGAGGTTACTGGATGATGCAATTGTTGCTTCCATGCTTGCATTTGTTGAATAAATTTGCTGAAGTTTTAAACTAAGTCAAAGTTTGAGTAGTGTGATATCCCGATTACTCATCTCATTTCAAAGCAGTTCTGTGAATGGAACACATAAATCCAGTGACGCTCCAGATGCTCATCGGCAATTACCAGATGGATTATTTTGTGCATGTCACTCAGGATCTTGCATATGGAGGTGATCAAAGATAGAACAGCTAAAATAATTTCAAGTCAAAATGCAAGAAAACCCTGCAACCATAACTAAGCACTTAATTGATATTTTTCTTGTACTCTTTACAACTTCCACAGTGCAAAAATTCAATTCCGTGATGCAGAAACCTAACCGAAGTTTCCATGTGCGCAGTATGCTGATGGCAATTTTCTGCAATGAAATGTAAGACCCAACACAACAAGTTAAAGCAGTGGGTGCTTTTGACTTATTTTGCAGAAGCAAAGCTTGTGGAAGCACTGTTTTGAATTACTCATTTAATTTCCATATTTTTACCACAGACAAGCATTGAGGGAAGGCTAGTGTCTTACATGGATGTTGAGGTACATATCAACAATATAAGCAAGGCATACAGTAAGTAGAGTTAAGATTAAAATCAGATCAGCCATGATCCTTCAAATGGCAGAGCATGTCTGAAGAGCCAAATGGCCTACTCTTTTTCCTTGTTCATATGTTTGTATGCATGGAAAAGAGGAGGTAAAGAGGTGCAGAAAGGAAGTACTGTGAGGAGGGAAGAGAAGGAAGCCTTTGTATAGGGGGTTGTAATCTCATAGGATCTGGTGGGAATATTTCTTCTAATTAGCCAAGAGTGAGCAGCAGTGCCTGAGGAGGCCGCACTTCACAAAAAATGCCATCATGAATTTGGGCCAGCTCCCTCAAACTAGCCTGGAATCTCAAAACAGAGTGAATTCAACACTCCCTGTGACCGAGAAGGTGATTGCTACTGGTACATTCTGTGCCAGTGAATCTATCCAGCCAGGAGCAGGGAACATCGTTTACCATGTATAAAAGTATCAGGAAGTGTTGTAAAGTACAGAAAGGGGAGAGACTTCTTCCTCTTCTCGCTGAAGAAGGAACACACAAATGAAAGGGCACATGAATTTGCCAGGTTAGTGGACTTCCCACAATCAACTGCATGTAACTGGCTCTGCAGGCCCTTCCATCAACTAAGAGCATTATAAGGGCTTTCACTCAATGAGTGGGCACTTGGTGTGTGGCCACTCTAAGATGTCTATCTTGGTGAATGCCCACCATGCTGGCAGGAACTATGGTGCTTTTATCCTGCATCACTGAACAGTATAACATCTTTAGTTCTTTGCTAAGGTATGGAAGATGGCTTCTCAGCAACAAAGACTAATGCATACGTACATGGCTGATGATTCCTTACCAATATGCAGGTAAGAAGGCCTACAAAGAGGGCTATGGAGCTACATAACACTGCAGAGAAAACCATAAACCTCCTAAAACAAAGGTTCTGCTCCTCTTGCTGCTTAAATAGCTCAGGCGAATGCTGTATACAGAAAAACGGTCTCCAAGTTTGTGGTGGTATTTTACATAATGCACAACCTTGCAATTCTGAGGTCCAGCTTCCAGAATCTAGAGACCTTCTCAAGAAGAGGAGGAAGAGACAGCAGGAGGAGACTCCCAGCTATCCCATGCAAACAATGAAATATGAGGGAGTGTACTGTGAGGTTCTGGTTTAAAGAAATTTGCCTTCTTACCATTTGAACCATTCCTAAAATGGTGGCATGGTGGTCAGTGGTTAGCACTGCTGTCTCATTACAACCTGGGTGGAGTTTGTACATTCTCCACATGTCTGCATGGGTTTCCACTGGGTGATCCAGTTTCCTCCCACAGTCCAAAGATGTGCAGGTTAGGTGGATTGGCCATGCTAAATTGCCCATAGTGTCCAGGGATGTGCAGGCTAAACGGATTAGCCATGGTAAATGTGGGGTTACGGGGATAGGGTTGGGGGGTGTGGGTCTGGGTAGGATGGTCTTCGGAGAACCAGTGTGGACTGAATGGGCCAAATGGCCTGCTTCCACACTGTAGGGATTCTATGATTTCTATGAAAAGTATGTCTATATCAGACTCGCCACCACAAAGTCCTTTTGACCGATATCAGCAAAAACCTTGATTCAACAACTCCATTCAGCAACACATAATACAAAGCAAAAATTATCCTTAAACATGCCACCAATGCCTGCCTTGTGAGAGGCCTTGCCTGTTCCTACACCTGTTGAAATTAGTGTATGTATAGGGGTGGGGGTGGGGTGTGCATATGAAGGTAAATTTAAAAAGTTGAACAGGACAAGCCAATAGTGCTGTTTAGCGATGTTGGTAATAATAACCACTGGTAAAAAGAATATACAATCCTAAGAGTGGAAAAATATGGAAATATAGTAAAAAGACAAAATAAAGGTTCTTTATGTGAACTCACATCATTTATAGATCAAACAGAAATAAATTGTCTAAACTGATAGCTATCGCAGCTATGTGGTTGCAAAGAAACCAAGACTGGAAACTTAAATATTGAAAAGTACTTGATATTTTGGATGCTTGGACAGAGAAATGAAGTAGTTTATGAGAATAAATGAGAAAGAAATATAAGAACAGACAGTAAATGTTTCTACAGATATATAAAAAGGGAAAGAATAGCTAAAATAAACATTGGTCCCTCAGATAAGAGATTGGGGAATTAATAATAGAGAAATTGCAAACAAAACAGATGTTGAAGATATATTTTGTAACTGTTTCATGGTAGAAGACATCAAAATCATCCTCATAAATAGGTTGAAATCCAAGGGTCAAAGACGATAGAGGATCTTAAATCAATCATTATAACTACAGAAAAAGTATTGAGAAAACTCATGGGTCGAAAGGCCGCCAAGTGCCATGAACTGATAGCCTGCAGCCACAAGTAGCGGCTATATTACAATAAAATCATCCACTATGTCTGCAGCCACTACTTGTGGCTGCAGA